TAATAATAATTTTTAAAAAGTTCATGCTTTGTATTTAAGGAATGGTTTGTAAGTGTTATGTTTAAGTATTTTACTCACTTTCTCTTCCTTAAATATCAAACTTCTAGAGCAATATCTGTTATAAGATGTAACAGACAGACCTTAAGGTAGTCTCCATGATCCCCAACTTTCATTGTCCATGTCGTTGCATAATCTTTCTCCTATCAGAGTAAACAGGACCTCTAACCAATACAATATGATTGTTGTCATCATTAGATAATTATGTGATATCATTCTTTTGGTTATATTATGTAAGACATGCTAGTATACCCTTTCAACCTCTTTGTTGTTGACTTTGAAGAAACAAGCTGCCATGATCTTGACAGCCATGAAAAAATCAATTCTGCCAACAAGCTGAGAAACTTGAAAGTATATCCATTCAGTGTTGAGCCTCCAGATGAAGGATACACACTTGTAAAATCTTGTTGGTACCTTTGTAGAATATTTAGCTAAGAAGTTTCCAACTTCCTGCCCACAGAAAATCTGACACAATAAATGTGTGTTATTTGAATGTGCTAAGTTTGTTACACAACATAGGAGACTAGCACATAAGATATCTCCTTCTGCTTCAGAAGTAAAGCCTTTTCAAAAAGTAAGTTCAGATCCTATAAATTTTCTAATCCTTTTGCTTTATGTTTCCAAGTAATTGCAATTCTAATGTACAAAACCAATTATTTTTGCATTTACTGACTACCTTGGCTTTTAAGACAAATCCTAATTGCTCTGATTAACTTTTACCCCTGCCACTTCTTTCTTATTACTGTTATTATTTTGTGAAAATATGCACTCCAAAAGAGACATTGTTTCAGTAATTTCTACAAATATGATTCAGACACTGATTATAATATTCAAGTTGTGTATCATTCATATTAATCATTTCTAAAAATTTCCACAAATATTTACATAAATTCATTGCACCTTCAAATTCTCATCTAACATTTTGCCATTGTTAATTTGATTTCACATATATAATTCTTTAAAAAAGAACAATTTCTGTCACATATAAAATTTCAATGAACTTTTCTTCACACCATAAAATTCACATGTTATTTTTTGTTCGGATGTACTGTTAGGGATGGTGTTCCTAGTTTTCTAGATGGTCTGTGGGCTTGGGTTACTTGTAATTTTTACTCTTGCTTTTATTCTATTCTTTTTGGAGATATTTTAAATAATTAAGTTTTGTAAATAATTATTTGTAATGGAGCCAACTTTTTGGAATTTTTTTTTCTCTCTAAATAGAAGGATTATAGGAAGAAGTCAACTAGCAAGTGAATGCTATCAGAAAATCTCTCTTGAATCACGCAAAATGATGTTTAAATGATAAGTGTTAACAACACCAACATTTCTTGTATATAATAATTGGGAAAATCTAGTGGGGTAATAGAACAAGAAAACATATAGCTACTAATGTGTTATTTTCTGTAATAGTTCATAAGTCCACCATTGATTTGTTATTCAGGACAGTTTATGATGTGCTTCATTAACAAACAGAATTGACATTTCTATAGCTTAAAACAACTTTTTTTGTTGTTGTTCCAAATACACATTTTCTGGTAGGCCCTGACAACAATAGGTACTATAGCATAGTTACAAAGTGGAAGAAAAGAATGTATGTATACAGCCTCACTGTGGCATTTGACTTTACGGAGGTAGTTGTCTCTAAGGCTTCAGTTTATTTCATCATACCCTGAGCAAGCATGTGGCAGCCCTCATTTGTTTAAGCAGTAACAGGCTGTACCTCTCCTAAGGGTTATGAGCACCCAAGAAGTGCTACTAAGAGGTCTTTTCTATAGTTCATAGACCCAAAAGCAACAATACAGCATCATATCCCCAAAGACAAGAAGTACCAACTCTAAGATTCTGAGTTCTGGGACTCTACCTCAGCACTGGACCAATAAATAACATCATGATAAATGGAGAAAATAGTGAAATTGTTAAATATTTTATTTTACTTGAATCTAGTGTCAACATTCATGGAAGCAGCTGTCAAGAGAACAAACAACATATTGTATAAGGGATATCTGCAAAAGACCTCCTTAAAGCATTCATGAGAAAAGATGTCAGTCTGAGGACTAAGGTGTATTTTCAATAGCCTTATATGCATTTGAAATGTGGAAAATGAATAAGGAAGACCATAGAAGAATTGATTCATTTGAGTTATAGTCTTGGAGAAGAATATTAAAAATACCATGGACTGCCAAAAGAATAAATAAATCTGTGTTGGAAGAAGTACAGCCAGAATGCTCCTTAGCAGCCAGTATATTGAGACTTCATCTCTCACTCTTTGAACATATTGTCAGAAGGGCTGAGTCCCTGGAGAAGGACGTTATACTTAGCTAAATGGAGAATTAGTGAAAAAGAGGAAGATCCCCAAGAAGATGGATTGACACAAGGGCAGCTGCAATGGTCTAAAGCATAACAATGAATGTAAGGATGGAGCAGGACCAAGGCAAAGTGTCCTTCTGTTGTGCATAAGGTCACTATGAGCGGGAACTGACTTGAGGGCACCTGACAACAACAACAACAACAAACAACCTCTTCCCTCAGAGTATATATCCAATGGACCAATATGTTTCATGATATACATCACACTTTCTTATTTTTAAAAAACAACTTCATACCTGAAGTTACCTCAGTTTTTTTTTCTTTATTCTGTTTCAATATCTCCAATCTGGATAAAAGTTTCTAGTATAAAATCTGCCCAGGTGATTCTGTTCTCCTTTATACATTCTAACTAATACAGATAAGAATATAAATAATGATGAATTAACACAAATGGCTACTGTTTGCTGTTGTTAATTGTCATCGAGTTGATTCCAGCCCATAGTGACCCTGGATGTTGATAAGTTTGAACTGACAACCTTGCAATCAGCAGTCCAGTGTTTATCCTACAACACAACACCAGGACTTCGATGATTACCATATATGGTATTTATACACCATCTGTCCATTGTCTATTCCATTTTCCCTTTGGCATTAGCCAAGTATGCTTAGTTACTTGGAACAATTTTAAAACAGCAGTAGCAGCAAACAAACAACCCAACAAAAATGCACCTCATTTTTGAGGATTTTGAACTCAATAATTTTGCCCATAAAGATTTACAGTTGTGAAACTCTATGAAGCAGTTTTACTATGTCCTATAGAGTCACAATGAATTGAAATAGACTTAACAGCAATGGATGACTATACGTATGTTTGTTTTTTTGTCTTGTATGGGAAAATTTGCTTTTAAAATTTGTATACAATTCTGAGAAGTTATCATTTTCCCTGCTTAATTGAAACTAGAAAACTCTTATATCTAGTATGTGACTCTCCAAATGTACAATTAATAACCAGTGATGAGAAACAAGATTTGTGCTTTCTTAACATGGAAAGTCTCTAGGCATTTCTGTATGTTCTCATAAATGTAGAAATTAGCTCTATAGATGCTTGAGGAGAAGATTTCTGGACCCGATTAACTCTTAGGTCTCCAATACAACCCAGCTTTAGAATTTGGCAGGTGTCTTTAGGGGTAGAAGGGGGCTAAATTTTATTTGTGTTTCATAAATTTTCTCATTTTTCACTTAAACTCTTGTATTGCCAATAACATTGTTGATTTTTCCGAACCAAACCCAAATTTTCATCTCTGAATACAGATGAGATACAGTAAATGGTCCCTATGAAAAACACCTGAAGATTTGGCACTCCATGGTACTTTCAGTATTCAGTTTTACTTCGGAGAGTTTACCGTCTTATTGCTTATGCAATAGTCTTTCAAATAAGAGTTTCCTCTATTTCACGTTAGTTTTCTTCCAAAAGGCCTGTCTTTTCAGAAGCATCACTAAAACCATTTTCAGCACTCTTTAACATAATTTTTTCGTTAATTCCACAATTATGCATGGTTGAACTATTTTATTTTAAAATTCACTTATCAATAAAAACAGTTTTGCTTCTCTTTTTGGTCAAAATGCATATGCCTTCTCTCCTGTTTTCATGTGAAGAAGATATATTAGCTAATGAAAAGTGAAATATATTTATTGTTAATTAAGTATTTAATTTTAGATATTTTCTAAAATTTAATTAATCCTCCTTATAGACTATATCCTATTTTATATATATAGCATAGTGGTTACGAATCGGGCTATGAAAAGCAAGGTCAGCAGTTCGAAACTACAAGCTGTTCTGCGGGAGAAAGATGAGGCTTTCTGCTCCCATAAAGATTTACAGCCTTGGAAACCCTACACAGGGTCGCTATGAGTTGGAACCGACTCCACGGCACACAACAACAGCAACAACAACTAATTAATGTTATTAGTCTTTGTAAAAAGTTGGTCTATATTGTATTCTTTTACTTTAACATGCTAGTGTTTTGTCAATCATTTTTATATGTTGCCTTAGAGCCTAAGGTCAGAAGGCCTGAAGTTAGCATTCTGACTCCACTATATTTGATCTTTAACGTTAGATGCCACCTTGAGTTCCTGTTGCTGTTGGGTTCCATCAAGTGATAGCAGTCCTATGCACAGCAGAAGAAAACACTGCCCGATCCTTTGTTGTTCTCAAAATTATTGTTGTATTAAAGCCATTGTTGCAGCCCCTATGCTAATCCATATCAATGAGGTACTTCCTCTTTATCACTGACCCTCTGTTTACCAAGTACAATATCCTTCTCCAGGTATGGATTACATCTCAACGTAAAGAAAACAAAAACCTCACCACTGGGCCAATAAACAACATTCTTATCAACAGAGAAAAGATTGAACTTGTTAAGGACTTCATTCTTCTTGGATCAACTATCAACACTCATAGAAGCAGTAGTCAAGGAATCAAATGACGTATTTCATTAGACAAATGTGCAGCACAAGACCTTTTTAAAGTGTTGAACAAAGTTGTCAGCTTGAGGACTAAGGTGCACCTGACCCAAGCCATGGTATTTTCAATAACCTCATATGCATGCAAAAGCTGGACGGTGAATAAGGAAGACCATAGAAGAATTGATGCTTTTGAGTTTTGGTGTTGTAGGAGAATATTGAAAGTACCATGGGCTGCCAAAAGAACCAACAGATCTGTGTTGGAAAAAGTGCAGCCAGAGTGCTTCTTGGAGGCCAAGATGGCCAAACTTCATCTCTCATACTTCAGACATATTGCCAGGAGGGACCAGTTACTGGAGAAGGATATCATGTCTGGTAAGGTGGAGGGTCAGTGGAAAGCAGGAAGACCTCCAACGAGATGGATTGGCCAATTAGCAGCATCAATGGACACAAGCGTGGCAACAGTAGTGAGATTGGCCCAGGATCGGGCAGTTTTGTTCTGCTGTTCATAAGGTTGCTATGAGTCAGTACTGACTTGATGGCACCTAACAACAACAACAAATTTATTGACCCAGTGGTGAGGATTTTTATGTTTTTTACATTTAGGTGCAATCCATACTTAAGACCTTTATCTTCATCAGCATTTTAAGTCTTTTTCACTTTCAACAAGCAAGATTGTATTATCTGCATATCGCAGATTGTTAATGAATCTTCCTTCAATCCTTATACCATGTCTTCTTCATATAATCCAGCTTCTCTTATTATTTGCTCAACATACAGACTGATTAAATTTGGTGAAAGACTACAACCCTGGCACAAAACTTTCCTGATTTAAACCATTTAATGCCCCCTTGTTCTGTTTGGAAAACTGTGTCCTTGTCTATGAACAGTTTCCTCATGAGCAAAATTACAATGTCCAGAATACTCATTTTCCTCAATGTTGTCCATAGCTTGTCATGATCCAGACAGTCAAAATCCTTTTCATAGTCAATAAAGCACAGGCAAACATCTTTCTGGTATTCTCTGCTTTCAGCCAAGATCCATCTGACATCAGCAATGATATCACTTGATCCATGTCCTCATCTGATTCTGTCTTGAATCTCTGCAAGTTCCCTGTCAATGAATTGTTGTTGCTTTTAAATTATCTTCAAAAACATTTTACTAGCATGTGATATTAATGATGTTGTCTCATGGTTTCCAGATTCTATTGGGTCACCTCTCTTTGGAATGAAAACAAGTAACCATCAAAAAGTGTTTAATTTAGCAAGAAAAACCTTTTCTTAACTTTTCACAACTGTGGTCTCATAAACTATTCGTCTTTCTGTGATTGACTGATTTCATTCAGTGTAATGTCCTCCTACTTCATCCGTGAACAACAATAATATTAACATGTAATTATTGTGCCTCAGACACCTTGTTTCATTTAATTGGGCCATATAGTATTCCTAATCCAAATCATTTTTAAAAACTGTAATAACCCCAAACAAATCAAATCTACATTATTGAGTGGATTCTGACTCATAGTGAGTCAGAATAGAACTGGTGCATTTGAAACACTTTCAGATAGCAGGCAAGTGTTTTCACCACTGTATTACCAGGACTCTTGCATCTTTAATAAACGTCTTTTGTACCTTGGAATAGTATTCAAATTTCCTCTACTATAGTTCAAGCTGTTGATATTTCTCTACTATAGTTCAAGCTGTTGTAGTTGAATACTTAATAACTGGGCCACCAGAGCTCCTGTATATGTTTGTCTACTATTGCATGGGTGGTGGTGGTGGTGTGCAGTGGAGTCGATTCTGACTCATAATGACCCTGCATAGCATTTCGGAGGCTGTAAATCTTTACGGGAGCAGAAAACCTCATCTTTCTCCCGTGGAACCGCTAGTAGTTTTGAACTGCTGACCGTGAGGTTGGCAGCCCAACTTGTAACCACTACACTACCAGAGCTCCTTAATGCATGGGTATATATCTATAAACACTCCCGTATATAGCCTTATGAGTGTTGTTGTTAAGTGCCGAAGAGTCATTTCCAACCCATAGTGACCCTGTATAGGGTTTTTGAGGAGCGGCTGGTGAGCTTGAACCACCGACCTTGTGGTTCAAACTGACTTTGCAATCCCGCTCATTTACCCAGAGCACCACACCAGGACTCCATTATGAGTGTACATTCACAAATTCCAAAGAAATGTGATCCAATGTAATTAAGACATTGTCAAATAATATCATTTATCTCACACTCGCAAAATTTTGCTGAAGACAATTCAAAGACAGTTGCAGCTCACGTCAATAGGGAACTGCCAGATATTCAAACCAGACTCAGGAGAAGACACAGATGAGAGATATCATTTCTGAGATTAGATGGAATTTGGCTGAAAGTCAAGAATGTCAGAAACATGAACCGTAGTATGAGTTGGAATCTACAGGTCAGCAACTCACAACAATAATGACAACATGTACATTAGTTATAAATGAGTTTATACTTTGATCTACAACTCTAATCCTTTACTATAGGGATTATTATAGCCTCCTTCTCTTGCTGTTACTATAACAATGAAAAAGCTGATTCCATCACCCATCACCCATTTGCTTAATTGTTTGATTCCTATACACATATATAGCCTTATTACAATAATTTGTACCACCATGAGAATACACTCTATTCATCAGAGAACAATACTTATGCAATTTATTTTGTTTTTATTTTAACATTTTTAAATAATTAAAATTAAAAATTTAAATTAAAAAAAAAATTTTAATGCTTTTTAATTTAATCATTTCCAAAGGAGCTCTGGTAGTGTAGTGGATTACGAGCTGGGCTGCTAACCACAAGTTCAATAGTTTGAATCTATCAGTTGCCTCATGGGAGAAAGATGAGACTTTGTTTCTGTAAAGATTTACAGCCTTATAAACCCTATACAAGGTCACTATGAATCAGAACTGACTCAGTGGCACACAACCACCACCAATCATTTTCAAACTGACCTCAAATACAAATAAATGAACAAACCCACAGTCATCACAAGATACTATGTAGGGCTTCCAAGACTAAATCTTTATGGGAGCAGACAGCTTCAGATAGCCTAATTTTTTCCCCACAGATCAGTTGGTGATTTGAACTATTGATCTTGCATTAGCAGCCCAGTGCCTAACCTGCAGTGCTACCATGGCACACCTCCCAAAACCTACTGCCATTGAGTTGATCATCATAATGATCCTATGTAGGATTTCTAAGACTATAATTTTTTTTTTCTTTTTTTTTTTTGGATTGGTTGAAATTTACAGGGCAGATCATCAGCTTTACATTCAACAAATCATACATGTTTCATGACAATGACTACATTCCCCTCCATGCACCATCAGTTAATAGTATTTCTCTATATTTACTTTAGCTGTTTAAAAATAAAACAAAACAAAATACTTGGGCATATATAATGATTTATACCACCAAAGGGCACATTCTGCAAGTCTGCCTCATGGCCACCATCTCTCAGTCCCTCTCTTTCCATGAATCTAGAGTCCTCAG